TTAGATTTAATAATTTTTTTCGTGTTCTATTGTACTAATAATTACCGGTAAAGCCTTTCATGAAATTATTTACATTAGTTTTAATAATTATTATTGTAATAATACGTACAATTAGAAATTCAATTTTTTCTCTTATATTATTTTTAATATAATATTTTAATAATAATTTCAATTCTTATTAACATGACCTATATTAATAATTATGGGTGAGACTTTTCAAGAAAATTTTAGCATTGTTTATAATGATTATTATTATAGTAGTACGTACAATTAAAGATTGATTTTCTCTCTATGTTATTTTTGACATAATATTTTAATAACAATTTCAAACGTTATTAAAATTACATATATGAATAATTTATTATATTTCTAAAATTTTAATGAGTTGCTTCAAATTCCTTAATTTGAACTTTTCTCATCCTAATATAAAAATATTTGTCATCTCGAATTCCAATAAGTCTAACATTTTATTTTTAATCTCATGTCAAAATGCGATTTAGTTTATTTTAGCACATTAAATCATATTGGTTTTATAAAATTCTAACTCTCAGCTTCTTTTTTAACTCAACCTATGAGACTCCTTCGTAACTACATAATATATAAGATTTAAATTTTTCTGATTGATTACCACAATTATTTAAGTAAATATGGTCTTTTAAATTACGTTACAAATATATCACTATTCTATTGGTATATGTATATGATAAATCACATTCAATATTTCATTTTCATTTTGTATTTAATCCTCTAGCAACTCTTTGGGAAAGATAGATTTCAATGTAATTTTTCTTTTTTTGTTTGAAAGATCCCGACATCTTGTATCTTAATTGTTGGCTCCTTAAATTCTTGGAATAGGCTCATTCAATATATTGGACTATTCCTACTTCTATCAACACGGGCAGAAAAATTAAATAACAATACACTACAGAAAATAATGTAACTATAGAATTATATCTAATTAAACAATACCTTTTCACCCTTCTTGTGTGCATTACCGATTTTTAGTACACATAGATTTCAATTGCAACCATGATGCAGTCCATCTCTGTGATTTTCTTTAGGGAATATTCAGGACTACTCCATCATCGATGAAACTATTTTATCTTGCAACATAACCAATATTTGAATTTATCTACTACTATTTTCAAGTTAGATCGTGTAAAAGTTGAAAAAAAAGCACAGGAGATCAACTGTGTAGGAGTTTTATTTTAGATTCAATATTTTAGCCACATGTTTAAAAATTGAGAGTTATCTAGAACTTGGATAAGATTTAATTTTTTTAATATTTTTTTATTGCAAAAACTTTAACCATACAGTAAAAATTTGATTTTTCTTTTTCAATCTCAAATTTTAGAAGTGACGTAACTGTTCTCTCCTTTGAAATATGTACCAATTTGTTCTCAAAGAGTATAACATGGATAAACTACGTAGCAGTTACGGTGTTGATTTCCTTTTTTTTAAAATATATATTTGAAGATTGATAGGTTACAAGCACTTTGATCATAAGTACTTTACTTTATATTTTGATGATCTAACAAACTTACTATCCAAGAACCAGATAAAAAACCTGTTACACATTTACAAGACCTTAAGATCACAAGGTTCCAGTTTGGGATCCAGCTTGCGTTATGATTCAACTCTTCAGAGTGGAAGGAACAACTGAAGGAATAGGTCCCTACCAGTTCCCGAGGAGACTGTACGAAGTCAACTTTCCAGCTGGAAAGTTGCTGCTTGCACATGCTACAGTGAAGGAACAATGCTGCAGTCAACTTTCCAAGGAAGACATTTTACCTACCTTGCTTATATCATTGTAAGTGATGTCACTCATGAATATATGCATTCAAAGGAGGCAAAACACATTCACTTGAACACTCAGAGATTTCGGCAAAAAGCTTTCTCACGGGATCATCCAGTAAGCAAGGTTCAAGTGCTTCAAGAATAAAAATAAAGCAACTACGGACCAGTTCCCACATAGAAGTTATTGTATGTCCGTAGTTGAGTTGTAACTTTGTAATAGTTCTTCATTTGTACTTCCTATCTAGCTTATTTAGAAGCATTCTATAGGAACCTCTTTGTAAACCTTAAACCAGTGCGTTTGAGTCTTAGCTAGAGTTAGTCATATTGTAAAGTCTTTGTAATAGAGTTATTACAAAGTGGCTTGTAATATGTGTATTACAAGTTAGTGAGGGAGTAAGAGTTTAATTCCTAGGTTGCATAGGTTGTAACCTGAAAGTTGCTCAGTAGTGAAATTGAAATCCTACAAGGGTAGGTCGTGGTTTGTAATCCCGTTGAGTTGGGAATTTTTTACGTAAAATTCCTCTTGTCATTTATTTACTGCTCTCTGTGTGTGTACTGTTGAACCTGATAGAGAACCTCGTTCTCTATAGAGTTTGGTGGACCCTTATATTCTATCAATTGGTATCAAAGCGGGTTCTTTCTATCAGGTTAACACTTAGAAAGGATCCTCATAGCTGCTCTTCCAAACTTCGAAGAAGGCCAGTCTATTTACAGACCTCCAAGGTTCAACGGTTAATACTATGGGTGGTGGAAAACTAGGATGCACGACTTTATCATGGCTGAAGATTCCGAGTTATGAGATATCATATGTGACGGACCCTTTGTCCCTACAAATAACCTTGGCAACGCAGCTGTAGCCATTACCAAGATGAGGAAGGAATTCAATGATGCTGATAAAAAGGCCATAGAAAAGAATTTTCGTGCAAAGAAAATTCTTGTGTGTGGCATTAGCCCTGATGAATATAACAGGATATCAGCTTGTCAATCAGCGAAAGAGATCTAGGAGGCTCTTCAGACAGCTCACGAGGGAACAACACATGTGAATCAATCCAATATTGATATGCTCATAATAGAATATGAGCTCTTCAGAATGAAAGATAATGAATCTATCCAAGACATGCATACTCAATTTACCTCCATCATCAATGAGCCTCACTCTCTTGGTGAAAGTATTTTAAGAAACAAGCTTGTCAGAAAAATCCTTAGTTTACTACCCAATTCTTAGGAAAGCAAAGTTAACGCCATTACAGAGGCTAAGGACCTGCAGACACTGACCATGGATGAACTTGTTGGAAACTTGAAAACTTATGAAATAAAGAAGAAAAGGACAATGAAAGAAGAGAGCCCAAGAGAGAGAAGAACTTGGTCCTCAAGACAGACAACAATGACTCAAGTGGTGAAGACGGGGACATGGCCTACTTGACAAAAAATTTCCAGAAGACGGTTCGCAGGAATGGAGGCATTCCAAAAAGGTAAAGTTCTAGCAAGCCAAGAAATTATGACCTCTGTCATAAATGTGGCAAGCCAGGACACTTCATCAAGGATTGCCTCCTCCTAAAGCAAGATCAGTATAATAACAACTTTGACAAAACAGCCAAAAGGAACCAGGTTCTTAACAAACACTTCAACAGGAAGAATGATGCTGACAATGTTGTAAAGTAAGCTCTTGTTGCATAGGGAGACTCCTCCAGCGAATATGAAGAAGAAAACGACTATGGTGGTAGTTCAATGATGGTAGTGAAAAATGAAACAACTAAGTATGATTCAATCTTTGCTTTAATGTCTCAATCTGATGACGATGAAGATGAGGACGATGATGAGGTAAACTTTCTGGATGTTCCGAGAAATCTGAAGTCTTACTGTCCTAAAAAGCTCATGTCATTAGAAAATGTGCTAATTGATGCATACCATAGTCTTATCAATCATAAAGATGCATTAGCTATGGAACTAGGGGAAGCAGAACGAACCAGAGATGACCTAGTAGTCGTTGTAGTCGATTTGAAAAAACAATAGAGAACCTGAAAAAAGAAAGGAATTCCTTAGAAGAGAAAATTGCTAGTATAGAATATGAAATAGATGATCTAATGATTGTTGTGGTGTACTTAAAAGAAACCATTGAGTGTCCAAGTAAAGAAAAAGAAACCTTGACTAAGAGAGTTGCTATCATTGAGCAAGAAAGAGATGACCTAGTAGTGGTGGTAGTATACTTGAAACAAAAAATTGAGGAGTTTAAAATGGTAAATAGGCATGGAAACTCTGAAAAGGGAAAGGAAACTTGGTAAAGACTAGTCTGTGTGCTGAAATTGAGAAAAACAAATAGCTTCAGGAAGAACTAGGGAAAGTAAAGAGTGATCTTGAAAAATCGCTTAAGTGGACCTGGTCCTCTGATGCTATCACTGCCATGTACACCAACTCTGGGGGAAACAAGCAGGGGATTGGGTTTTAAAGAGAAAAGATTCCCTACAACCCTCATAGCAAGTATGCTACTGTACCTGACAATTGGCTATGTACCCACCGCGGTAACAATGGGCACCTCAAGGAAAACTGCATGGGTTCAATCTCATCAGAAAAATAAAGTTTTTGCTAAGAGAGTAACTACTACAAGAGGACCTAGTCCGTCAAATAGAAAACCATCAAATAGGAAACGCATTTTGCCTGCTTGGACTAAGAGAGCACTCATTCATCCCTTATCTCATAACAAGGGACCCAAACTAGTTTGGGTTCCTAAATCTAACCCTTGATTTCCTTGTGCAGGGAGCAGTGAAGGGGAGCGACCAATAATGACATATGAACATTGGCTGCTCAAAGGACATGACTGGAAATACGATCAATTTTCCTTCACTAAAACCCCTACAAGGAGAGTGTGTACCCTTCTGAAAATAGCTAAAAGGGGGTACGCTCTAGGAGTTGGAAGATCTGTGTCAAAGAAAATAAGGTGGAATTCTTGTCCAGGATATGCACAATCTCAAATCCTATGACTGGTGAGGTGATGCTATAGTCAAAAGACACAAGGGTACTTATTTTGATGTGCTTGAGCCTCTGCAGAGTGGATATATAAGTTGGTTGAAAGTTGTTGAAGACAATACTGAACTATGGGACAAAAGACTGGAGCATTGCAAGTTATTTATCACTAAACAAACCAGATCTGAAGGACCTGGTTCATGATCTAATCAAGTTGAGTATCAAGTAACACAAAGCATACAATGCCGGTGCAAAAAGAAAGCATGTCAGATCTCTATTTAAGCCCAAAAGGGGACAATCAGCACCTCAAGTCCACTTGGACTTTGCTCTTCAAAACCAAGGATGAGATCTTTCAAGTAATTGTGGCTTTTGTCAAGAAGATCCAGGTATAGATACAAACAAACGTGGCTTACATCAGATCAGTTCATGGAACAGGTTTGGTTAATGCCATAGTGGATGAATGATGTATTCAAAGAAGAATTATTCAACCGCTTAGCTCCAAGAACACCACAGCAAATGGAGTTGTGGAAAAAAATAAAGGGACTCTTGAAGATTGGGCACGGTCAATATTATTTGATAGAGGAATTGCAAACATCTTGACCAAAGTTGCTGACTCAATTGAGGATATGTGGGTACAATTGTTATGCTCTCAACAACGGGAAGGATCAACCTTGAAAATCTGATGGTAAAAGAGATGGAGGAATCTTCCTGATGTACTTGTCTCAAGAGAGAACAAAAATACTAATCAAGGTAGAGAACGCTCATTGATTCCAGCACGGAACCTGGTCCTGTCTCTACAACAACAGAAGCTGAAGAACAAGTTGTTGAAAAAGGTTATGACATAGAAGCATCACAGGTCATCAGCACTCCCATTGCCACAACTACACACCCAGATATGGATGAACCTGGTTCTCCTCTAAATCAAACCATGTATAGAGACATCATTGAATCACTCTTGTATCTCACTGCAAGTAGACCAGACATCGAGCTTAGAGTTGAGTTTTGTGCAAGGTTTAAGTCAAATCTAAAGGATTCTCATCTGAAGGCTAGTGTAATAATTTTGAGATATCTTAGAGGAACACAGGACCTGGTCCTCTACTATCTTTCAAGTAATGGATAGGAAAAGTTCGCCTGAAATGGGACATTCTCTGGGTTCATGTCCTGTCTCATGAGGCTCAAGGAAGCAAAATTCAATGACACTCTCAACAGTTGAAGCAGAATATGTATCATCAACCTCCTGTTGTGCTCAAATGTTGTGGACCAAGCAACAAATTAAAAAGAACTTGAATCCAACTCAAGAGGGCCAAATAGATTGATTACCGAAGATCAATGTGCAGGCATCTTCACCAAAAGCCCTGGGAAGAAAGCATTTTGAGAAAAATCATCTTGCACTAGGGGATGATGAAACCTAACTGAGAATGTGGTTCCTCATGATTGGTTATGAAAGTCATAGTCAAGTAATAGCTAAAGTATTTTCTGGCTAAGTCTAACTCACCCTATACCGTTACAGGTAGACACGCATGATGACTACAAAGTAGATGATGCAATACATATTGGTAAAGAGGGTTAAGCTCACTTGCAAAAACTCGTCAAGGAACCCAGTTCTCTTGACACAGATCAGTACCCTCTTTGTTATTTTATATACATTCAAAATGGACAAAACCAATGCCATATCATCAGCGTGACAGTCTCTTTAAAGTCATGTCTTTTCAGCCAATATGTCACAGCCAAAACTTCATTCCTTTTTCTGAGCGATACATCTCCCAAGCCAAATGTTGCCGCCATTTCAGAACCGGTCCCTCATCATAATTAAATCAACATCACAACCCTTTCTCTTCCAAATTCAAAATCTCCTTTTTGTCTTCTCTCTTCTCAAATATACAATCCTTTGAGTACAATCTCACCATGTTTGAAAATCAAGCAACCGTCAGTGTGCCTGACAACGCTGTGATTAAGTCCTCACTAGTTAGTATTTCAGCAATGAACTCCCCTCCCAACACAATCACTAGTCCAAACCCTAAAGCAGAGTCTTCTCCACACTCCACTCCCTCTTCTACCCACTCCGATTCTGTTCCCGATCTAAGCAAGGCTGGGAATGTCTGTCCTCCTCCAGTCTCACCGGTCAAACATAGTACACAAGGTCTACAGGGTAAACAAGTGAACCTCATTCAGGAATCTTCAACTTTATCCATGGTTGGGCACTCTAGTGAAGATTTGGTGACTAGTCATGAAGAGATTGAGACCACCATGACAGGTTGTGACTCTGCAGGTATCACTCCTTCTTCTATTGAAATCTCCATGGAACCACAAGAAAAAGAGGGAATAGAGAATACATTTTCCATTGCTTCAGAAAGGGTCATTGTAGAGAAATGTGCAGAAGGGTCTGAGCCTCAGAGGGTAGTGCCTCAACCATCATAATAAAAAGGAGCACTTGTGCCATTTGAACAACTGGCACAAGATGATGCTATTGGAATCCCTAATGATGAACCTAATCCCTCCGTGGAGGATCTAGGTCATGAGTCATCTCCCCAGGCCAGTGTTGATCCTTCTCCTTCTCCCCACTTTTATGCTGAGCCTTTGAATATGGTGGTGCCTGAGACGAATCCTGACAGTGAAGAAGACGCAAATGATTTGGCATATGCTAGTTTTATCAGGGCTAGAACTAAGCCAGTGGTAACTTCAGAACCACCTCTTAAGCGACCTACTACACGGTTGCAGGCAAAGGAGGCTCTAGAATCTGCTCTCAAGAAGAGTAAAAGGAGTCGGATAAGGAGAAGGTTGGTAAAGGATGAAAAAGTTGTACAAGATAAGGATGTCCCTGTAGTTGATGTGGATGAGGAAGAAGCACTCTCTCTCTCTCAATCCAAAAGGCACACTTCTATGGGTGTTGAGAGTCCTTCCAAGAGTGCTGATGCTGTTTCCAGTGAAAAGTTGGTGAAAAAATCTGGTGACAAGACTGTGAAGGAGAGTGGTGACAAGTTTCATGAGGAATAAGTGGAAAAATCTGGTAAACAGGTACAGAACAAGTAAGTGGATAAGGAAAAGTCTATTGTCAAGTCAGTGAAAAGAAAAAGGGATGAGATGATGAGAAACCTGGTTCCATCAAGAAAGCAAAAGCAAGTGGGTCTCTGAGTTCTAAGAAAAGGAAGTTGGGGAATCAGAAAGTATTATGGGGCCGCACATTTGCCTCTACATTCTAGAACTTGCTGGGATGAGACAATTAGTGGACATTTGTGATTCTCAATAATGGACCAATCTATTTACAAATAGGGCTCCGAATGTGTATGAAGATGAGGTATGGAGTTTCTATACCAGCCTCTTCACAGTAGATGGTGATCAAATCTGTGTGTTGATAAATGGGGTGGACATAGTGATGGACTCTGCCTTGTTGGGATCAATTCTGGGTGTTCCTGCCGAAGGACTATCGTCTGCTCAGGGTACCTGTACATCAAACTTCAGAAATGCCATTTGTCAAGGACAAGGCAATACAACATAGGGAACAAGTGCATAAAAGGCACTCCTTCCAGTATATCAGTTACTCCTTGAGATGGTTAACAAAGTGTTGCTTCCCCGCGCTAAAAGAAGATTTGTTGCATCCAAAGCTGACCTATTCCTTATGAAAGCCTTGGATAATTTTACCACTATTAATTTGCTTGCCATAATGATTGAGCATATACAGAAGGTAGAAAACCTTAAGGATGGGAATCCTAGACTACCTTATGGTTTTATTCTCATAAAGGTCTTAAGTTCTTCAAAGTACCTCTGGGACAGGCCAAGGTGGGGACTAAAAAGCAATCCTTTTCAAAAACTACTCTTGAGGAGTGTGAGTGTATTGAGAAAGATGGAGGAGTAGAAAGCACTTCCACTATTTCTCAACTGATAAATGCTCAGAATAGTACTACAGAGGAGATCGGGAAGTTGAAGGCTAGGAGCGCGATTCTTGAGAGTCAGCTCAGTCAGTTGCAAGCGGCACCTAGTTCTAGTAGTTCTCACAGCTCAGAGATTGCATGTTTAACAAAGGAAAATGCTGAACTTAGGAAACAGGTGGAGGACCTAAAAGAAAGACTGCTCAATGAGCAAATGTCCGTGAATGCTCGCATAGATCTTGTCCTCCAAACCCTTGTTTCCTCTTCCAAATCCCCTTCCTCCAGTGTCCCATAAAGAATGTCCCCTCAGTGTTCAGTTTCCAGTGTCTATCCTCTTAGTTGTTTTTGGTGATATTTTTTTGGTTCTGGTAATTATTTTTGTTTGTTTTAAGATGTGGATGATAACAATGATTCTGCTCATGCCTGTAAAAGTCCAATTTGGTTTATGCAAGTGGTTTCCTTTTTGATGTTATGCTGCTGCTCTTTTTGTCTTTGTTTTCTATCATGTTGTGTACACATAAGTGGCATGAGTTAGCTATGCTAGACTTTTTTATGATTCTTACTTGTTCAGTGCTTTTTATGATGTCAAAAGGTGAAAGATTTAATTGAATAATAAAGAGTATAAATGAATAATTATCTGAAAGGGGAGAAATATAGATTCAGGGGGAACTCATTCAGGGGGAATTCACAAAAGTTCATGTACTGATTAATTCAGATGGAACTCACAAAAGTTCATGTACTGATTAATTCAGCGGGAACTCACAAAAGTTCATGTACTGATTAAGGGGGAATGCAACGATTCAGGGGGAAACTTAAGTTCTTTCTAGTACGTTGCTGGTTCTATGTGGCTCTTTCTGGGATTTTCAATTATGAGTTTGTCATCATCAAAAAGGGGGAAATTGATAGGTTACAAGTACTTTGGTCATAAGTACTTTACTTTATATTTTGATGATCTAACAAACTTACTATCCAAGAACCAGATAAAGAACCTGTTACACATTTACAAGACCTTACGATCACAAAGTTCCAGTTTGGGATCCAGCTTGCGTTATGATTCAACTCTTCAGAGTGGAAGGAACAGCTGAGGGAACAGGTCCCTACTAGTTCCCGAGGAGACTGTACGAAGTCAACTTTCCATCTAGAAAGTTGCTGCATGCACACGCTACATTGCAGGAACAGTGCTGCAGTCAACTTTCCAGGGAAGACGTTTTACCTACCTTGCTTATATCATTGTAAGTGATGTCACTCATAAATATATGCATTCAAGGAAGGTAAAACACATTCATTTGAACACTCAGAGATTTCGGCAAAAAGCTCTCTCACGTGATCATCCAGTAAGCAAGGTTCAAGTTCTTTAAGAACAACGAACAAAGCAAGTACGAACTAGTTCTCACATAAAAGTTATTCCATGTCCTTAGTTGAGTTGTAACTTTATAATAGTTCTTCATTTGTACTTCTTATCTAGCTTATTTAGAAGCATTCTATAGGAACCCATTTGTAAACCTTAAACCAGTGCGTTTGAGTCTTGACTAGAGTTAGTCATGTTGTAAAATCTTTGTAATAGAGTTATTACAAAGTGGCTTGTAATAGGCGTATTACAAGTTAGTGAGGGATTAAGAGTTTAATTTCTAGGTTGAATAGGTTGTAAACTGAAAGTTGCTCAATAGTGAAGTTGAAATCATATAAGGGTAGGTCATGGTTTTTAATCCCGTTGAGCTGGGAATTTTCTACGTAAAATTCCTCTTGTCATTTATTTACTGCTCTGTGTGTGTACTGTTGAACCTGATAGAGAACCTGGTTCTCTATAGAGTTCGGTGGACCCTTATATTCTATCAATAATATGTTGTGAATATGCGAATATATTCAAAATTTACCCATAGAATTCTAATAACTACATGATTCCTACGTGGGGTTATCTATTTTAATTTCTTGTTTTGTTATTTTGAGTGGAGAGACATGTATTGTTCTGTGCCAATGATTTAGGAGAATTTATCTAGGAGTAGTATAACATGGATAAACTACTTCAGCAGTTCGGGTGTTGATTTTTTATATTTTTTATATTTGAAGATATAAGAAAAGTTGAGTTAAACTTATATTTCATTTTTAAGCTAAATATTTTATCTCTTAACTCAATTCAAAACGTGGGGTTATCTATGTGCAAACACACGCAGGAGATATTTAGTTTATTTTAAATTCAAATTCAAAAAATAACTAATTATTATACATAATCTAACTAATTTTATTTTAAAGTTGT